AAGATGATTTTGTAGTGAAAATATATATATATCTGGATATACAAAATAGGATAGATATACAGCTGCTTGCTCTTAATTCATTGAGAAGAAAGATTTGTACTAATAGTGTTTGGACAAGATATCATGTCTGCATCTTGTACTATGAGTAACTACTATGAAGACAACAATATGCAATGTGCTAATTTTTTTTTGGCAGAACCAGGGATTGAATTCAGATCCTTGCATTTACCAGTCAAGCTCTTATCCTACTGAGCCATCTCCCCGGCCCCAGTGTGTTAATTATTGTAACTGTCCTACTAACCTGTTTTGAAACTGTCTCATTGCTATTTGTTTATCAATAAAATTAACTAAAAATAAAAGATTCTCAATAAAATTAATATAAAAATAGAATAAAAGAGTTTTGTGTCATCTGGGTATGATGACACACACTTATAATCATAGGTATTCATAAGACTGAGGCAGAACACTCTCCAGTTCAAGGCCAGCCCAGACAACTTAAAGAGGCTCCATCTCAATATAAAAATGAAAAAAGTGCTGGGGTTGTAGCTAAATGGTAGAGTACTTACCTAGCCTATTCAAGGGCTTGAGTTTTCTAGTATGCACAGAAACACACACACTGAAATGCGGTCCTCTCTTTACTATATCCTAAAAATGTAGCCCAGCGCATGCTTTAAACTCATGATATAAGTATTATTATTATTGTTGGAGCCAGGCATGGTGGCAAATGCTTGTAATCCCAGCACTCGGAAGGTGAGGCAGGAGGATACCAGCACATTCAAGGCCAGCCTGGACCATAAAGTGAGTTTCAAAGCCATCTGAACTGTATAGTGAGACCATATCTGAAAAACATGACAAATAAAATAAAATAAAAAATGGCTGGGATATAGCTTAGTGGGGTGGTGCCTGTCTGGCAAGCATGAGGCCTTGAGTTTAATTCCCAGTACCCTCCCAAGAATAATTATTATTTTTGGGACAATAGGTTATTATTATTATTTTTTTTTGGCGGAACCAGGGATTGAACTCAGGCACTTGCGCTTGCCAGGCAAGTGCTTATTACACTGAGCCATCTCCCTGGCCAGACAATAGATTATAGGTGTTAGATGGCATAGGATAGATGACATCTACGATAATGTGGAAATTCTGAACACAATGACACTAGGCTCAAGCAGTCGCAAAGATGGTAGAGACGAGCAGATTTGGGTGTGTGACTGCCTTTCTTTAAAAATGTGAAGCAAGCTAGAATATAAAAAGAAATCAGGGACCTGTCCATTAGCTCAGGCGTTTAAGTGCCTGCTGAAACAAAGCAGTCAGGCTCAGGATTCTGTGATTCTGTCCCCTCATCCTCAAGCCAAACCAGACCTGCCCTGAAGGCAACCTGAGGGGGGGTTGGCAAAAAAGTCCTTCTGCCATTTTAGGGGCCCGGGCTTATTCTAGAATAAGCACTTGCCTGGCAAGCACCAGGGACTGAGTTCAATCCCCAGTTCCAAAAAAGAAATAATATAAAAATATAAAATAAAATCTTTTTTTTTTCAGAACTGGGAATTGAACTCAGACTCTTGCACTTGCCAGGAAAGCACTTATCCTACTGAGCCATCTCACCAGCCCCTCAAAATCTTAACAAAAGAAGAAATGATTCAACCAAATATGTGTAAACTAGCTGTACAGATGGTTCTCAAAAGAAAAAATTAAAAATGGCCAATAAATATATGAAAGCACTAAACATCTTTAGCCATCTGAGAAATGCAAAATCAAAACTACAGAAAATATGTAAGAAAACTAAAGTCAAAACTACAGTGAGAGTCCAATTTATCCCAGCCAGAATGGCTATTATCAAGAAAACAAAAAAACAAAACCAACCAACCAAACAAACAAAATCCAATAAATGTTGGCACACATGCATGGGAAAAGAAACCTTTCTATCCTGTTGGTAGGAATGTAAACTAGTACAGCAACTATGGAAATCAGAATGGAAGTTCCTTAAAATAGTAAAATAGGGCTACCATATGATTTGGCAGTCCTACTCTTGGACATGTGTCCAAAGGAAATAAAATCAATATGTTGAAGAGGCACCTACATTCCCACAATTATTGCAATGCATGAATGGATAAAGAAAACT